CCCCTGACCCCTCCCCCCTTGACCCCATGCGCCGCCCGCCCCGCCTCACGTGGCGTGAGGGCTCCAGTTGTCGGGGTCTGTCAGGTACAGCACCTCCTCCCAGTTGCGCAGGTTGGGGATGATCTTGAACGCCTTGGGCACCTGCAGATCACGAGATCAGATCACCAGATCAGATCATCAGGCCACCAGATTGGAAGTCGACGAGGAGACCCCAGAAAAGGGGGGGTGCAGGCGGCCCGCCCGGCCCCGCGACAGGCGCCATGCTCGGCAGAGCAAGCGGGGCGTGGGGCGGCGCCGGGGCTGATGCATCTAATTGAGACAGGCGATGCTGTGTACACGCAGGCATGTGCCTTTCGCCGCACGCATCATCTGCGCACGCGCGGATTTCGGGCGCATGCCCCCCCCCCTCGCGCCCCGCACCTTGCCGGTGGTGTACCGCGACAGCAGCTGCCCGACGCCGCGGTACACCTCGATCACGCGCTCATCCAGGCCCTCTGGGGCGGGCATCTGGCCCTCCCTGCGGCGGGAAGGCGGCGCCGGGCGGTGCGCAGAGACGGCGGCGGGGGGTGACAGTGAGTGGTCGGATGCGGCCGGGGGGTGACCCTGCGGCTGCCGCAAGCGCTGGGGCAGCATAAAACACAAGACTCCCGTGCCGGCGCGCGCAAGAGCGCGGCCCCTAAAAAGGAACGGTCCTCACTCGTGACTTCTCAAGCCAGTTGGACTCCCACGCATTCACCATCCAACCCCACGCGCTTCCGTACTGACCGCCGCGGCGGGCACTCACTCTGGCAGCACCGAAATGCCCTGCCGCTGCTGCTGCTCCCTGATCCGCGCCACGATGAGGCCCGACAGGCTCTTCTGCCCGCCCGCCGCGGCGCCCTGCGCCTCGGGCGGCGGCATGAACGCCGCGAGCGCCCGCTCCTCTTCCGGCGAGATCTCCTCGTCGCCCGCGACGCCTGGGGAGCCGGCGTGGAAGATGATCGGGCGGTGGGGGTGGGGGTTGGTCGTGCCCCAGAGGCTGGGGGTGGAAGGGATCGCCGCCAAATGCGTCGCGAGCAATGGGGTGGCCCGGGTTGATGCGGCGCAGGGGTGAGTGCGGGGCGTGCCGGGCCTTGCACCCTAGCGCAGGGCAAGAACACGACCTTGGAGCCTGCGCGGCGCTGGCATTGGGTCGAGACCCCTGGCGACCACTGGCGACGGCCTCAGGCTGCAAAACAAGCGCCCGCCCCTTCCAGCCCCAGCCACGTGGCGGCTGCGGGCCCGGCGCGCCCCCGCCGCCCGCTCACCCCCTGCACCCCAGAGGGAGTCTGTGTCGCTGAACCGCCCCTCGTCATCGCCTCCGCCCTCCTCGCTGCTGTCGCCCGCAGCCAGCTGCTGCAGCGCCGCGGTCAGCGCGCCGGCGCTCATCTGCGTGCGGAGGCAGGGCACGGGCGGCGCGTCGCGAGTGCAGGGGTCGGCGCGTGGCGCGTGGCGCGGGCTGCTAGCAAAGATGGCCGCCCTGGTGCCCTTTGAGCCCTAGTGTAGGGGGCACCCGAAAGCCGGGCCCTTTGCCCTCAAGCCGTGCCGCAGGGCCGCGCCACAGCCATCCCAGAAAGCCGCGGCAAACCCCCGCCAGGACGAGGACCCCCTTCTCGCACGAGCGAAGCACCGAACCCCGGCGCGGCGGCGGCCGAGCGGCTCGGCCCGGGCGCGTAAGCCGCGCGTGACGCGCGGGAGGCCCCCTTGCGCCCCGGCGCGCCGCGCCTCGTCCCGCCACCCCGCACCCCC